CAAAAACAAAAGTGTTGCGTTTATAATTTTGTTCAGTATATTTGTGAAGAAAAACTATGTTTGAGGAACAAAAACAAGACCTTGTAACATCCACTTTGAATAGAATGTAGCATATGGACTATTTTATCATAAATTGCAATATTGATTTGCCAAAGAAAGCTCCTGAATCGTTCAACATGTTAAAGTGGTTTCTGCCTTGTAGATTTGTGTAATTTAGCTTAGACTGTTGGTGGTGGAGATGGCAAAGCCTCACCCTGCTCTCTGCTTGACGTGTCCCCCGCATGACCTGCAGTTTTCAGTTGAGTGCGTTGTACGTTTGCAGTGTGCAGATAACCTTCATTTCAACAGACCTTACAGATGTAATTTAAAAATAGTATGCAGTACTTCTATCTCTAAGTCTTTTCACCATTTGTGAGTTTTAGGCACGAGAATTACCTAAAGTATGAGAATTTGTTCTGAAATCAGACTGTCCTTCAGACCAGGAGGTTCAGTAGAATTAATCAGTGGATTTTACCTTATGTTGAGTAAACTCAATCTGAAAGGTTTGTGTTACCTCTATTAGGGTTGTGACGGTGAGGAAATTTTCCCACCGGTTAATCGACGTGTGACAACACCGGTAATACCGATATCACGGCGGGGACGTTCCCTCTTTTCCTCGCTTTCCTTCGCTTTTAAATGACGTGCGCATTTTACTTTCACTTTCAAATAGCGGCAATTCGGAGTAAAGCAATTGTTTTTGAATTTTTCCGCTTTTCCTCGCTTTTAAATAGCTTAAAAGCACCGTGCGCATTTTACTTTCACTTTCGAATTAGTGGCAGGTCAATTGCTTGAATGCAACAACAAAATACAACGTCAAACTCACTTTAGCATATATATATATAAAACAGAAATTTTATTAACAAAACAAATAAAAATACACCATGCTATAGGGCAGGCTATGCCTAATATAAAATAACAAATAACTTACATAGTTTAATAGGTATACAAAACTGGAAATAAGTAAACATGTATAATATATAACCAAATAAATAAGAAACGTAGAACGTTTATTAGCAAAACGAATAAGAAAGCTTGGAGGCACGGCATACACCTTGGTGTCAAATAAAATAAATAAATGACACAAAGTTTAAATAAAGTAAAAATCAGCAAACAATGTGGAACCAGTTAAATAAGAAACGAATGTTTAAAAAAAAAAACATTGAGCAGCCGCGTTCAGTTTTTAATTGTAGTGTCTGTTCTTTTACTGAACTAAATTATTTTTATTACTATAAAAAAATCAAAACAACGGTGGGGGTCGGTGCCGTGGTGGGCAAGTGACGTAACCGGTGTTGCGGCTTAACAACGGTATCACCGTCAGCACCATCTATCATGGCAAGCCTAACCTCTATCCCCTTTTATATACAGTATGTATATCAATGATTGATCCATCACTATTGTTGAATGAAAAGAAAATGCACCTCTTATTTGTTTTTTTTTCCTCTTAGAATGTGATCCCAGCTGAGGTCTCTCTTGTCTGTGTGGTGAAACCTGATGAATTCTGGGACAAAAAAGTGACCCATTTCTGCTTCTGGAAGGAGAAGGACAGGCTTGGCTTTGAGGTAAGTATACTAGAGGTGTTTTGTTTTGGTGGACAAAGAGCTACACTTTGACATATCTGTATTTGACATTAGGGATGGGTACCAGTATGCAAGTACTTGGTGATCAAACCTGAAAATGTAACTCCTAAACTTTAAATTTTGTGACTGGTTGCAGTTGCATGTTGAGTGGTACCTTGTGGTCCGATTGGTTGGAGGTTGGAACCGCAAATGTATACAGATACTGTTGCAACAGTTTTATTTGTACATTGACCTCACAATACATATTGTCCAAAACAGTTGTACAGGAAATGGTACCTTTAAATAATCTCTTTAAGTCAAACATTAAAGTTGTGAGGAAAATGCCACAAAATAAATAGGATAACACTTCCACTTCCAAGTTTGGACATGCTGATGTTATTGTAAGAATTGTTTCACATTTTAGCAATTTCAGCACTCAATTATTTAATTAAACTTTTCTTTTCTGTTTTTCCCCAAATTGTATTTTTTAAAACCTAAGCTTTTGTGTTCATCCTAAATGGACTGTTTAGAATGGTTCCACTGTGTTTTCCATATACATCAGACCACTGCATCATCAC